TAGGTTCGCATATGTCAGCATGTACCAACTCCAAACTTTGTGAGGCAAGGTGTCTCGACCTTGTCTTGCCTAATATGAGCATAGGCAACACAACCAAATACTCTCAGTCTGCAAGACTAGGTGGATGTCCCGACCAAACTTCTTCAGGTGTCTTCATTGCCAAGGCAGTCGAGGGACATCTATTTATCATATAGGCTGCTGTCAAAACAGCCTCTGCCCAGAACACCTTCTTCAATCCAACACTAACCAATATGCATCTAACCTATTCAAGGATTTTCTGATTGAATCTCTCAGCTAAACCATTTTGATGAGAAGTACCTACTACAGTCTTATGCCTTGCAATCCCAGACTCAACACAGTAACTTTAGAATGCTTCATTGCAGAACTCAAGGCCATTGTCGGTTCTCAACCTCTTAACCTTTCTGCCAGTTTGAGTTTCGACCAGAACCTTCCAACTTTTGAAATTCTCAAATGTTTCATCCTTCGTCTTTTGGATGAATATCCATAGCTTTCTGGAATAGTCATCAACGATGGATAGAAAATACCTTGCACATGAGTGTGAAGGATTCCTTGCAGACCCCCAAAGCTCAGCATGAATGTAATCCAGAGATCCATATGTTTTTTGTTTTCCTTTGTTAAACTCGCCCTACAGGATTTACCAAATACACAAGATTCATAAAACTCCAACTTTTTGACTTTGTCACCTCCTAACAGGTTCTTCTTCCCCAATTCGACCAGGCCTCTTTCACTGACATGACCCAATCTCATGTGCCATAATTATTTCTTCAACACAAGTTTCGTGGATGCAACATTTGTCAAACCACTTACAAGCTCAGCCTCAAGGGTATGCAAGTTTGTTTCTTCACGCCTCTCAAGACTTCCTTCGACCCCTTCATGACTCTTAGGATACTTTTCTCTCCTTGAAAAACATATCCCCTCCTGTCGATTTCACCAAGAGAATTAAAATTTCTCTTCAAATCAGGTGCATACCTGATTTCAGTCAATAACCTTATTGACTAATCGTGGAGCTTGAATCTCATAGATCCAATATCTGCAATTTTGCAAGGTTTTTTGTTTCCTAGTAGCACTGATTCACCATCTTGATCACATAACTCCTTGAACAATTCTCTGTTTGGAGTCGTGTGTTAAGTGCAACCTGAATCCATAATCCACTATTTTCTTGAACAATGGTTACATTGTCATTATCCTCACCTCTATGATCTTTCAGGAGTTCAGGGCACACCTTTCTTATGTAACCCTTCTTCTTACAGTGATAACATCGAATACCAGATGTTTCGCCACTATAAGACTTCTGCTGACTTTTACCTTTCTTCTTGTCGAACTTACCATCCTTTCGCAAGAATTTTCCCTTAACGGCCAAATCTTCGCCCACCGTCGAAGGTTCATGCTCCTTTCGTTTGTTCAAGTCCTTAGAATACAAGATTGATTAAACTTCTTCAAAGCTCAGGGACTCCCTTCCAAACAAGAGAGTTTCTTTGAAGTGAGCATGTGTTCTAGGAAAAGCACACAACTAGAACAGTGTTTAATCTTCATCATCGATCTTTACATCTATATTTTCAAGATCAAGAATCAGCTTGTTGAACATATCCAACTTCTCAGCCAACACTTTTTCTTCACTCATCTTGAATGAATACAAAGCTTGCTTCAGGTAGAGTTGATTCACCAGAGATTTGGTCATATACAAACTTTCAAGTTTCACCTGTAACCTCGATGTTGTAGTTTCCTTTGATACTTGTCGAAGAACCTTATCACCAAGGCTCAACAATATTGTTTTGTGGGCTTTCTCAATCATGGTCGTCTTTTCTTTTTCCGTTAACGCAACATTCATGGCTACCTCTCCCTTCAACGCTTCCAAACAACTTTGCTGAACCAGTAGGGCTTTCAGCTTCAAGCGCCACAGACCGAAGTCGTTCACTCCGGTGAACTTTTCAATATCATACTTTGTTGAAGGCATCTTCTCCACTCTCACCACACCAATTTGTTGTGAAATAGGATGCTTTGGAACAAAATATAAACGATTTCTTTATAGACAAGAAACACACAAGGGTTAAAGTTAACAAAAAAAACAAGGTAAAACAACAATGATTGGTTATAAACTGTTATTCTTTCCTTTCTCTATCAAACAAGATTACAAGTATACAAGAATAACAAATAAACTCTCTCCCTTGAATTAGGATTTTATCTTCCTATTTTTCCTTAAACAAGATGAGAAACTAGCATGCTCTTTATAAGAAAAAATAGCACACTAACCTAATGGACTTTTTAACAATTACCCATTACAAGCTAACTTAGGGTACAAGCTAACTTAAACAATTGGGCTTACAAGCAAGGCCCAATTAAACATGCTAACAAACCTAGCAATATTGACTAATGCATATTAGAACAAACTTCGACTACAACATGCATTACTCCGACAACATACTAGAGTTTGATCCAATATCTCACAAGCTAAAATCTTGATTGAGGAAGTTATGGATTGTGGTTTGTTGCTCTGATTTGATTATTTAATCATGAACTAGATGAAATTGATGCTGGATTAGGTTATAGGGAACAAGGACGATCAATTAGATATAGTATTTGTGTATTTTCTCCTCCGCCGCTACCCGAGACGATTTTCGGCGCGGCGGAGATGTCACTTTCTGGCGAGTCTTCAGACGAGAGAGAGGAAGTTGATTCACATGTTTGAGTTCATTGCTTGATGGTGAGATGTTTGGTGACTTCTTCATGATTATTCTTGGACTTCTGGCCCTAAACGTTTCCTATTGAGCACACAAAATCACTTTTACACCCTCCCTGAGACAATGATCAAGGTTAATGGGCTTAAGATCCGAGCCTACGCCCAAACATTGCTAATATACACTGCCACTTCACCTGTTGCATCTCCCTTACTTGATTGTTTTTTTTTATTAAATTTTTCATGATTGATTTTTCATAATAGTTTTGATTAAATTTCATAATTGTTTTGATTATTTTTTTCAAGATGGTTTTGGATTATTTTTCATGATTGTGGTGAATTAATTTTCATGACCTGTTGAATTAATAAATTATTTTGATTTTTTTTTTTGATTAATTTTGATGACTTTATTTTTCATGACTTTTCGTGGATTAATTTTGATTTGAGATTTGTTAATTAGCCTCTTGATTTTAGTGCTTGATTAGATTTTGATTAATTTTTGACGCAAATGGAGTTTAACTCTTGATGTTCAAATTGCGAGTAATCTTTTATCTTGACTAATTTTTGATACTAATCTTGTTTTACTCCTTGAGATATACTTGTGAATGTTTTCATGATACTTGTGAATTAATCTTGATATGCCTTGTGCTTGATGATTATGGTCATGTGCTTTGATGCTTACTTGCTTGTTGTGATTCACATGCTCCCTTAGGATTGATTTTAGTCCAATTTAATTAAGTTTTTTGCTTAATTAAATTGAATTAAAACATAACATTTCTTTAGATTTAACGTTGACATGACAATATTAGGTGTAGACACCCCTTTGTAAATCTTAACTTTAAGTCCATCTTGTATGATAATATTGGGATGGAAATCCCCTTTTGTTATTTCATCCTTTTTCTTTTCTTTTAAAAGACAAAAATCCTTTTTTTCTTAATCGAAATTAAAAAATACTTAATGGTACATATCACAAACAATTTCAAAACTAAGGGAAGATGTACTCAAATACCCCCAGCCTTGAGGGACCATTTGGTGCATCTCCTAACAAAACACTTCAACAAATTCAAACCTTTTTGCCTTTGGGCTTTTCCCTTTAAAATCTTTTTCGAAAAAGTCATGCTTTTTCGTTCTACCGCAAACAGACAACGTCTAACTGCTAGAACGCAAACTTAATATCGTCCATAAAAAACACCCAATAAATCAACTTTTTCAACAAGAACTAAGGAGTTTTGATTCTCTCTAGGATACGTAGGCACTGAGTTACAAAACTCGGACGAATTCAATAATAAAAACCTTTTGTTTTTCTCCAATAAATTCATTCATGCATTCTCTTAGCAAGTAAGTCTTTAGATATACACTCCCTTTGATTAGAACAACAACAATAGATCTCGTTGAATACAACCGACGTGCGGACGCTAATACATTCTCCTTGCGTAACCGATTCCCGAACCTGAATTGGTTGCGAGAGCATGTTCATTTCATTCTTAGATTTTTTCGATGTTTTTCCCTTTTCAGTTGGAATAAATAAAGTTCGATAACGACTGTGTATTTTTTTTTTCGTTTAGCGACAAACACATATATATATATATATATATATATATATATATATATATATATATATATATATATATATATATATATATATATATATATATATATATATATATATATATATATATATATATATATATATATATATATATATATATATATATATATATATATATATATATATATATATATATATATATATATATATATATATATATATATATATATATATATATATATATATATATATATATATATATATATATATATATATATATATATATATATATATATATATATATATATATATATATATATATATATATATATATAAAATCATTGTTGATTTAATTATAAAGTTATTAACTCATAATAGAAAAAGAAAATTAGTAAGGGAATCAATTAAAACCGATTTCTAGTTAACTTTAGGTACCAGCTGTACTCTATCAAAAGCTTACAGTGTGGGGATTATTTGAAATGTATCTGCATGAGATAGCACGTATATAGGACGGTCAATAACTTCTTCTATTCATAGGCTTTGATTTTAGTTCTCAAATGATTATAAGAAAGACCAATAAAACAACAATTTTCTTCCAAATTTTAATACATATCAGCTAATTTTCCAACTACCAAATAAAGCTTATGTGTTGATCCATACTTTCCTCCACTATATATAGCACGCAATTTCTTGCTAGATTCGTCATCGTTTACTAAAACATATTCCAATTGATTCAATTTGTCTAGTTTAAAAGTAATGGATTCGAAAAACGCAATACTCCTCATCATAGGTCTCTTGGCTATGATTCTTCTTATATCCTCTGAGGTGTCAGCAAGGGACTTAACTGAGACTTCCTCCCGTACCAAAAAGGGTGAGCTATCCACTATTTTACTTAACTCTACTTATAAATAATTGCTTAAGTTATATATTGTCTCATAATTGTACATCTGAAATTTATTAATCTTGAAAACTTTTGATATCTGGAATATATTCAAGTCTAATATCTTCAAGGAAAGTTTTGATATTATATTAAAAAAATATCTTCAAGTCTAACTATTCTTACAAAACAGATTTGCAGGATAAAATAACTTTCATTTATAATCATATATTCAGACCATATAATATTTGACTTTAAACTCTTAAGTAATTTTTTAAACACGTTATGTGTAGGATTGGTTGATGAAAAGACATTTTATAATGGCATCTTTGGTCATGGAGGCTACTATGGTAATGGTTATCCAGGTTATGTTGGTTATTTTGGTGGTTATCCGCGTAATAGTGGTGGATATAACGGTGGTTACGAGGGTGGCTATCCGGATAATTATGGTGGCTATAATGGTCGCTTTGGTAGTGGTTATCCAGGTATTGATGGTGGTTACAATGATGGTATAGGTGGATATGGTGGTGAAGATGTAGATGGGCAAACTAAAGACGATACACATAATTGATAGTCACATCATCATACATGAAACTTTTAGTAATAAATTTCATGGATAAATAACTGATCTGTACATAGCATACCATAAAAGGTACAGATAGACAACAATTTTTATTGTTATTATCTGTCTTGCCATACATAGTATAAAGGTTTCACTAGTAGAAATCTTCTTGCCATATATAGTATAAGGATTTCACTCTAGTAGAAATCTTATATAAATAAATCGTTGCTATGTATATGCGATGATGAGTTGATTTTTAAATTTACAGTAATGAATGTAGTATAATGTATATAATATGCAAAATGATTGCTATGATATGGTCTTTATGAGGTTGTTTAAGAAAATTCTATCTACTATTAAAATATTACTCTCTTTTAAAATAAATATTTACTTAATATTTTCCGCACAAATTATATATATATATATATATATATATATATATATATATATATATATATATATATATATATATATATATATATATATATATATATATATATATATATATATATATATATATATATATATATATATATATATATATATATATATATATATATATATATATATATATATATATATATATATATATATATATATATATATATATATCAATTATATATAAAAATATGAGAATGAATTTAAATCATTAAATTGCAAATATAATATGTGATTTTTGTTTTTTTCTCTCATCCATTATTAAAATAAATGATGGTGTATATATATATATATATATATATATATATATATATATATATATATATATATATATATATATATATATATATATATATATATATATATATATATATATATATATATATATATATATATATATATATATATATATATATATATATATATATATATATATATATATATATATATATATATATATATATATATATATATATATATATATATATATATATATATATATATATATATATATATATATATATATATATATATATATATATATATATATATATATATATATATATATATATATATATATATATATATATATATATATATATATGAGAATATCAATTATATGTAAAAATATGAGAATAAATTTAAATTATTAAATTGCAGATATAATATGTGGTTTTGTTTTTTTCTCTCATCCATTATTAAAATAAATGATGTAGCAGAGAAAAAAACTAACACATAATCTTTACTATTTATTTTAAAATCTAATGGTTCAAATTTATTCTAATTTTCTGACTCTCAAATATATTTTTAATATATATATATATTGGTTTATCTTTAAAATATTTCGACTCTCAAATTGAAATCTCTTGATTCCCACTTTTTTTAATAGATTATAACTTCATTTTTTAATTTTCCTAACCTCCTTTTTAATGTTTAAAGTTTAAATGGTTACTTCAATGTTTATTAAGTTTTTGGGTACGGGTGAATTCATTAAATTTAAAAGTTTAATTCTAATCAATTTTTTTATTTTAATTTCTCAAATAAAATAATTGTAATTTATATGAATTTTGAGTATAATTTAATACTCTATTTATGAATTTTTTAAACATTTGTAATATTTTTTAGTTAAAATAGAATGATAATTTTTTAGCCTCCACTAAAGAAAGTTTTTGGATTTGCCAATATATATATATATATATATATATATATATATATATATATATATATATATATATATATATATATATATATATATATATATATATATATATATATATATATATATATATATATATATATATATATATATATATATATATATATATATATATATATATATATATATATATATATATATATATCCACTCAAGCTTAATAAATAAATTCCTCCACACATTGTCAGTTGAAGCACATATAACATTCATTCACTCGCTCATAAAAAAGAGAAGGAGCGCCCAAAAGGCTTAATATGGAGCCACTCCTTAGCAGAGAAGATGGTCATATCTCTAAATTCTTCCTTTTTCATAATCTTTCTTGAGGAAATAGAATATTTTGGATTTTTTAATTGCTTCCAACCATGAAAAATAAAGGACAAAGTACTTCCGAAAGACAAAAAATTCTTAAACAAATAAGTCAGACATACAAGTAACACCAACTCCCAACCTAGCATCCTATAAATCTTATGCAATAAACACAATGCCACGTCACAAGAAACGAAACAATGACTACAAGTATACTTCAAAGAATCATGGCATGACATATCAAAAATTTCTAAGAATCACCTTATTACGGATGATAATTTTACCCATACCTAATAGGTACCTATAAAAAATACCTATAACAGATATATTAAAAATGCACAAAATAAGCAAGAGTAATTACTGATTAAAATTAGCGAGTATGAGTGCTGATACATGTTTTTTAATACTCATCTTATTATATACTCGCACAATACATATTTATGTATTATCATTTATATTATTATAAGAAAATGCGTTTTTTTTAAAATTATTACACATTTTAATATAAGTGTTTGTTCATTTCATAATTCAACGAAGGAGTCTACTAGGTGTGTTATAGGACTCCCCAACCTTTTAAAATATTTACTCTTCTATGGTCATATAGGTTAATTTGATACGAATTATCATGTTCATGACACGATTGCCAAGAATCCAACCCTATGCATAGTTAGTGTTCAACCTAAAAATTTGATTGTTGCTTCAAAAACAATGAAGTCTCAATCAAAGTTTATTTTAAAAAGGAAAACGTGATAAAAATCTTGGGTTGTGAGTCCGCCTTCGGTTGACAAACCTTCGTTAAGTTGATGTGAGCCCGCCTTCGGCCGACATTCTTTCTAAGTCCGCCCTCGGCTGGCACCTCGTCCTATTATTCGTCCTTTTCCCACAGTCTGCAAATTTCGTGGTTCTTTTTGTATTCAATCACCTTCTACTAAATGTCTGAAAGTCGTTGCTATCATCCCTTCAGGTTGATTGAATAGGGGCAGCTGTTGCACCCCAAAATTTTCCCTCACTTTTTCTAACTTTAACTAGCTTCTGTTTCGCATTCATATGCATCTTCCACTAGGTCATGAAGTCATAACCATTCATTTGCATGAGCTCTCAAGACATGGATCAAAGTATTTTCTTGTAATTTTGGTTTTCCCTACTCAGAGGAGATTTGTCTGGCTATTAAACTCAAGATTGAGGCAAATGGTGAGCTCCTAACCTCAAGAGTATCTTCTTATCAAAAGATCATCAGGGTTTTGATTCCTTTTTTGTGCAAGACATTTCCTCATTCAGGGTGTATCTCAGGGAGAACTAAGGTTCATTGAATTAAGATTTTCATGTCAAGGACTGTTGCACCCCAAAATTTGCCTAACCCTTTTCTTAATTGGTTTAGTGTCATTGCATTAGCATACCATTGTTCTAGCATTATCATAAGCATTGCATTAGCATTTATGCAGGGTATCAAGTGTGTTTTATACCAAGAGGAGCCTATCTAGAGGTTTTACTCAAGCTTGAGAAGTCACCAAAGTCATCAGGAAGTGGTTTATGCTCTTGAGAAGTTCAGATGCTTGTATGGGGTTCATCTCCCAATTTAGGGGCCAATTGAAGACCATAAATGGGTTGTGAAGCCTTGATTATGGATAGAATATGTGGATATAGCTCATGGAGTGCCTTGAGGGTCATGGTGGAGCTCAGTCAAGTCATTATGCTAGGTGTGAAGAGCCACAATTGAAGGTGTTGCAATTAGGGTTTTCATCTGGTCAACCCTAAGTCAATTGTGCAATTGAAGGAGCTCAAAGCTCAATTATAAGTCATGGTGTTCATGGAATGTTATGTTGATGCATTTTAGATGTTATTCCAAGATCAATTCAAGAAGAATTCAAAGTGTGAGGAGTTGCTAAACTAGGGTTCTCAGGGTAAAATCCCCTATTTAGTGTCTGACTTCAAGACCACTTATCTCAAGATACAAGTTTCATATCAACTTTTGGCCGAAGTGGAACTTGTAGAGAATGCTCTTAGATTTAATTTGAGTACTAGAAGTCCTTGATTGGATTTATGGAACTCAAGTTATGATCCAGACAAGCTACAGGTCACCAGATGAATGTGAAATTTGTCTGCAAAAGTCAACCAACTTCCTGGATATTTTTGAGCTAGAAGGATGTTTCTCCTCAACTTTTGGCCAACATAAAAGTTGTAGGTTTTGATCTTAGATTTCCAAAATGTACTAGAAGTATTTCATCTGATTTGCAGAGCTCAAGTTATAAGCTTTGCAAAGTAGGGGTATTTTGGGAAACTTTGATTACAGGTCATAAAATTACAGGTCAAGTTCACCACTTTGCATAACTCAAATGGAATTTTTTCCAACATGAAAGTTTCTCCAAATGGGGTCATTTGGTCAACTAAACCTCAATTTATCAATGGGCTAGCTCACGGTTGAAGATTGGTGAAGGAGATTTTGGTAAAAGCATGTGAAAAGCCAAGTTTGTGATCTTGCAAAAATTAAATCAAATATGGTCATATTTGTACTCATTTTGAAGGGAAAACACATTTTAAGATCATTGGTATTATTACAATTTCAATTTGAGAAATTTTTCATGGGGTATTTCAAGCTTCCTTCATGGTTAAGCAACACTTTGGATCTTGGCCATTGAGATTGAAACAAGGGGAGATTATGAGCCCTTGATCTTCCTTACATTGCAAGTAACTGAATTGAATCAAAAACAAGGAGAATTGGTCATGTATTCATCCACTTCCATGGGCTTCCAACTTCATGAAATGTGAAAATCCAATTTGATAATATAGCCACAATTAGGCCCCCAACTCATTGCAAAAATGTTCTATATAAACTCAGGAGCAATTCCATCATTTTTTTGGATGAAATTGGGTGAGAAACAGAGCTATAGCAATTTGAAAAAGTGAGGTTCAACTGAAATTCATTTTTTCCATTCCACATCAATTCAAGCTCTTTCAACCATCCAAACACCTCTAGCAACCACCATTGAAGGATTCTGAGCGAAATTCCTGAAGAATTCGTGGCTGGTTGAGGTTCTACATCTCCAATTTCAG